AAAAAACACTTCCTGTTCCTCTAAAAAGCTGCATGATAACTATTTTTTGTTATTTTTTTTTTTTTTATATTTATATAGTGTGCTCGTGTTTGGTGGACAGTACCTCATGTGGCCTTTGAAATGAGAGATTTTAAGTCCCTGTTCTGATCGCAAATTTGTCTGCACCAACTTTAAAGATTATTTTTGGTCAGTTTTAAGTCACCTATGTCAAAAGATTTGAAATTGAAGAGATGTAGCTTTTTCGCCACGTCTTGAGTGATTATGGAGACTCGTTTAAAGTTTGGCCCTTCATTTTTGTTTTTTTTAACACAATTTTGTACTGGTTTTTCGCACTTTAGTCTAGAAGTGTTTATGTAGAATCTTATTTTGGAAGATATTTTAAATGCATGATTTGTCTTATTTGTTGTTTACATCTGTATACTAAAATAACCTTTTATTTTTCAGATTGACTCCCTGGACGTGTTGTGTTTGAAAACTAGAGAAGCAAGATAACCTTTGAAATGACTTCATTTTCATGGCAAAAACACGGGTATGGATATCTATAGGAGGTATGAATTTACTTATAGAATCAAATAAATTACTATTAGTTTGATGTGGGTAATGGCCAGATGTTCTGTTGAAGATTAAAGGGTTAGTTCACCCAAAAATGAAAATTGTCAATTACTCTCCCTCGTGTCGTTCCAAACACATACACCAACACCTCCGTTCATCTTCGGAACACAAATTAAGATTTTTTTGATGCATCCCATGAGCTCTCTGACCCTCCTATAGACAGCAAGGGTCCTTACATGATCAAGGTCCAGAAACGTAGCAAGGAGATCGGTAAAATAATACATGTGACATCGGGTTCAACCGTAATTTTACGAAGCTACGAGAATACTTTTTGTGCAAAGAAAACTTTATTCAACAATTCGTCTCCTGCATCACGTGTATACGTTGTCTACGTTTGCGCTTTGATCTGAACGTAAACAACATATCCGTGTGATGCAGCTGACACAATAGAATATGTCGTTTACGTTCAGTGGATACTCTCCGTAATGGCACTACAGGGTGATGTGGAGGAGATGAATTGATTATTTTTGTTTTCTTTTGCATGAAGTATTCCCGTAGCTTCGTAAAATTACGGTTGAACCCCTGATGTCACATGGATTATTTTAACAATCTCCTTGCTACGTTTCTGGACCTTGATCATGTAAGGACCCTCGCGGTCTATGGAGGGTCTGAGAGCTCTCGGATTCCATCAAAAATATCTTAATTTGTGTTATGAAGTTGAACGAAGGTCTTTCGGGTTTGGAATGACATGAGGGTGAGTAATGACAGAATTAGTTTTTGGGTGAACCATCCCTTTAATTTCTTCAAACAATTATTGTATGTTACTTGTTTGGCTGTTTGAATAGTATCAATTGACTTGCATGCTTGTTATTAATGTTCATTTTCTTTCTAATAAGACCTTTGTTACTTGGCTTTGCTTTTTCAGAGCTCGTGGAAATCCCTGCTGTGCAGATGAACCCATCTCTCCCAAAAGAAAGCAGAGAAAGTGTCCAAACACTTGCAAAATATGATCAATCAATCTTCCATCTAGATTGAAGTTTGATTATATTTTGCTTAACACCTTTCTACAGAAACCGTTTTAACTTAAAGTGTGAGAATGACAAATCAATTCAATAAAGTTTTTTACATCCGTTTTGTTCAGTACTTTGCATCGTTTATTAGCACGGGTTATTTAGTGGCAGTGTTGCAGTACTTTAACCACAAGGTGGCAGTGGTGGCCAGCTACTGCGCAAAGGCCACAGAAAATGAAATGCTTATTAGGCTTTGGCAGTATGAGTTGGGCTTTATATTTAAAAGTTTTCAAGTTTACACAGGTTGGTTTAATTCTTAAATGTGATTGAACTTGCATTAAACTGAACAACTATCTAGCTTGCCCTTTGAAGGTTTCTTTTATAGGTGTTTTGATTCTTAAGAGCAACCATGTTTTTCTTTCAGTATCCATTTATTGTTTTGAAAGTTTTATTCGGTTTAATCATGAATTAAACATTTAACCATTTATGCACTCATATTGCTGATGTGTTCATTGTTTAGTCATTTTATGGTTGTGTGGTTTTGGGGGATATGTCTTAAGAAAGAAAAGTGTCTTAATTTCAAGGTCTTTAGTTTATATTGCTGTGAAGCAGTAATTTTCCATTGCAATATATTGTTATATAAAGTCTGAGCATTGAAACAGCCCAAAAAAAAAGGTTAATCAATAAACTTAATTTCTTTACATTGTCTCCTGCTTTCTGTTCTTCGCTGGCTTCCTTAGTCAACCTTTTGGCTGAATGAAGACTTAAAGGTACAATATGTAATTTTTGCCATTAGAGGGCGCGTATTCAAAATTAAATGGGACAAAGGCATAGTTTGATGACACCGTGACTGCGTGTGGAATCATGGGAGTTGTCTTCATCCCCACAGTCGATGCAATCTGACGGGACTCGGGCAGAAATCATGTTCATGGATGAGCTAATGCTTTATTAAGGTAGTAGAATGAAGCAGAGTGAGGCATAAAGCTGTCGAAGCGAAACGAGGCCGCTGAACGAGCGTGACACGGCTCGAAAGCAGCGGAGCTTTTATTATGCCACAGTCGACTGCTTCCACTCGTTCCAGTCGTGT